AGTCCACTGCCTGAGTACTGCCCTCAACTCGCTATCTTGTCAAAGCTGTGGGCAAATAGGAAGTGTATCAATTTTCCGAACGAAATTCAAAAAGCCATTTTCTGACCTAACGTTTCTAGTGGCACAGTTATATACAGCAGTTGAATTTAATGTACTATGTATTATTTACTATAACATCATACAAATACATAGTAAGCCAAGTGTATAACTAAAGTTGGTTTTTACCCCTGAGAATGAATGTCTGCTTTACCATAAGCTGCTGGATTGTTTGAAAAAGTTAAATAATGATTTTTCTCTACGAATGATAAATCCAAGGTCAGAGTAGTCATTTTGATACACATGCTTTATGCCAACTGCCAGGTTTAAAACAGCCAGAAAGAGCCATAGGCTCTGTAAATTAGATTATTCTAAGATAATTCTCTATTACCAATCTGGAGGCAAAACCTTTGGTAAAATCAGTGCTTCTTATATAACTTATGAAATTACCCCTTAGTGTGTCTGTTTTGTATTTTCGGATAAAATATCATATATTTTATTTTCTTAAAGCAGCATATGTCTATATAAAATACTGTGTAGTTCCAACATAAGAAATTACAAGTCATAAACGACTTTTTCAATCATTCTTAAGCGTTTGCACAACTTCCTCTATTACGTTAATCAGTAACCAAGTTATAAGGGCAGAACAATGGAGTTATTATAGAAACATGCATTGGGACAGTGGACTTCTGAGCCTTCCCTTATGATTGTTCTGATGTTAACTCCAACAGTAAGAGGTTGACAACGTCAAATAATACATATCAAAATTAAAAATATGAACCAATCAATTAATCAATCAAAGCATTTAAACTTACCAAAATAGAATTTAAGACTTAGACATAAAAAAAAGTCATTTGACTTTTCAACAGCTCTCTTTTCACATCAGTAAAATGTAAATAGTAGTCCCTGTTCTGCTATAAATGAAATGAAGTTCTTCAGCAAAATTTTATCAACCACAAAATGTTATAAAATACAAGATATTTGGGGGCCTCTGATTTTTTTTCAAAATAGGTAATAAGAAAAAAGCTCATAAATTAAATAATAACAAAATGAAAAACTAAGCAAGTATAAGCTGAGTATTACAAATACATGAATTTTCTGTACTATAGAAGAATACAGAAATTTCATGTATTATGGACATTTGCTTTCTAATTCAAAACACAATGTTACCTAAAATACCTAAATTTCCCTGCAGATTCCAGAAGTCAAGCAAATGTGGAGGAAGACTGAGGAAAGGGCAGTAGTGATTCAATTGCATGTGCTAAAAGACAGTGGAAGAAAGATGAAGGCCACACTCATAGGTGTTTACTGAGTTTCTGTAAAGTCATTTGAATTCATTAAATAAGTGATTGGACTGGTAGGGCACCTTTACAAATCTGTTTATGGTGAGTTCATTTTCTCAAAGTTGGTTGTTGACAAACGTGGATATTATTTTTCTCACAAAATTTTTTACAAACATAATCACCTAACCCTTAGTCCTAACTCTTGTATCTTGACATTATGCAGGCCAGGGTATCCCCGAAGCTGTGGGAGATACTACTAGGGTTTTGGCCATCTTCTCCAAACCCTCTTTAGTTTTCCCATTTTTTGTAAAATAGGAGTCTGTAAAGATAAAAAATTATTCGTTTTCGTTTTCTATGCATTCTCACCCATTTTTAGGGGAAGAGTTTCAGGAAACACTGAAAATAATCCTCCAAAAAAGAGAAAAACAGTGTTGATAGAATTTCCATTTCCAGTTCAAAATTTCATCTATATTGTTAAGACCCCTAACATTCTTCAAAATTATTGAGGACCATCTATTGATATTTACCATACTAAAAATTAAAACAGAATTTTTTTAAAAAATCCCATTCAAAGAGGCAATTCACAAACATAGATATGTAAGTGGCCAGTATGAAAATCGTTCAACCTAGTTTTTGAAAGAAATGTAAATTTAAACAAGATACAATTTTCATATACTGTCTAAGTTGTTGGATTTATTGTAGTTTGCACTGTTTGATAATAATACCCAGAGTTGACTTAAGGAGACTCTATTCTCTTATACTGCTTATAAATGGATACAATCTTTCTTAAGGGCAAAGTGTCAAAAATAATAACTAGCATCCCATGAGATTTTTGCTAAATATTTTTGAGAATCCCCAAAATACTCAATTATTATTACTCCTATTTAAAACTGAGAAAACAGCATTTTAAGAGGGAAAGTAATTGGCTTATGATATCACAAGTTATAGGTAGTAGAATTTTCTTAGAACCTGGAAAATATACATTAAAGAATATATCCTAAGGAAGTACACATAAATGTGTATAAACTTTTATATAAGAGGTTCTAGATGAAACATTATTGATAATAGCGGAAAACTGTAACCAAGCTAAATATCCAACAATTTATGATTGGCCAATACGATATATCCGCAGATTAAAAATTACATGTGGTAAGAACCACATACTCTTTTGCTCATGGATAGACTGCCATTATTGCGCAGTGCTTGACATATAGTAGGGACTTAATAATATTTCTTTAAGATGTTAATGAATGCATAATAATACACAATTATTTAAAAACATGTTATAACCGAAAATTTTTTGAATGAAGGAAAAGCACTTTATAAAACAGTATGAACAGTATGATCATAATTTTGTAAATCTACACGTGAGCGTATGTATAGAAAAATGTCTAGAAGTATAAACAGAGGTATATCCATGAATTTTTTTGTCTATCTCTCTGTTGATACATACTGGGTACTCAAAAAATATTCATGGATTGAGTAAATGGAAGAATGACATTTTAAAAGTAGTTACCTCTTGGGGGGGAGCATAATAATTTTTTTCTTTTATTCTTTGCAATTTTCTATATTTAACAAAATTTAAAATGAGCGTGATTATCTTTGTAACAAATGATATTATAAAAACACAATCATTCTGGGAAGTATCATTAGTAATATTGGAATAAAAGTAGCAAATATAGATACCCCACAATCCAATCAAAAATAACTTGCATCTTATTTTCCTATTATTTTCTACTTACTGCATTCAGCAATAAAAAATAACAGATGTAATAGAAAAATGACAAGTCTAATATTGTACAGCTAATTATTATTGATGTTGAGTCTATAATCTAGGTCACTTGGTTTCCAGGCAAGCAGTTTTTGCTTGGAGTTCCAGAACACCAATGAGTAAGTGCCAATATGGACACTAATATCCACTGGTAGGCAGTTCCTCACAAGTAAAATTTTTGCTAATTAACCATTTTCCAAATTTCTAAGAAATATTGCATTTTCATGTGATATGAATTGTCTTTGGGGATTTGTGAACTTCCTAACAGTGTTTTTAAATTCGTTTGTGTAGGAATGTCATAATGTGCATTTTTCTGGGGAGGGGTCCACAGCTGTCACTAAAGCTATAAAAATCTGCAAGCAAGAGAGGAAAAAACTGAAAGCATGTAAGAGGAAAAGGAACCACAACTAATTCTGTCTTCTTCCTTTTTATTCCTGGAACATATTTTTTAATATGTAGATGATTCAGTTTTATGACTGTGTTCTAAGTAGCAGCACTAGGAAAGATAATGATGGGTTAAAAATACAGGCCAAATTACCTTTATGGAATGAACTTTGTCAGTGGCTAAGAAATCCATGTAGTAATTTTTCTTTCCCTAATTAAACATAAATGCAAAATACTTCAAAAGTAACTTACAATGGCAAAAAGAAACAGTGTCTGGTCCCATAGAATATGCCTCTCATACAGGAAGTTTGTAAGGCTGTTTTGAGCAAATGCAGATTAAACACTTCTCTATGCATTTCACAAGTATTGCTTCATTTAAAATTTAACGCTTCCTGAGCTCAATGAAAGAAGCAAATATCTATTGCTTATCGCAACATCTGACCTGACTGGTAAGATCTAGGGAGGGACCACTAGGATGTAATTTTAAGACTCAGAGTGTATTTCACCACGATTCCCTGCAAATGTCTTTGGGGCTACGATTCCAAATTTATGCAACAAACAGAAACAAAACAAAATACAAATCCTCCTTTAACTCAAATTATATTTACAAATGTAACTTTAGCATTGACCGTCATCCAAATGGTATACCTCTAATATTCTCCATCTGCCTTAGCTGAATAAACGCTTACATCATCAACCAGTATGAGGAGAATTTCTTGTTCTAGTTGTTGAGGTGAAAATAATTATTTTTAAGACTAAAATGATTATAAATTGTAGGAGACATTGATACATTAAGCCACCGTTATTTCAAAACCAAATGCCTTTTTCTCCTGCCTCTTCTGAAACAAAATTAAGAAAATAGTACACTCGAAATTTAACTATATAATTTGATCAAATCTTTTCGAGTATCTAGTATTGAGCTTTATTCTCCCGGCATGTCAGATAACTTAGGGGAAATGTGAATCAGAATACCAGTCAGCTCACAATTAATTTTTTCAATTTGGTCCTTCGTTCACATAACACAGCAACACATTGAACGCCCAGGAAAGCACTGCTGAAGCAGTCGAAATGACTAAATTTTTTTTTTTTTAATTAAAACTTAAATGATTCGACCGTCTGTCTCTAAAGATCGCTAGCGCTGTCAGACAGCACGCTGCTGCTCAAGCTTGGGGACCAGTGGCCATTCGGTGGCATCACGTGGAATGCTAAAAAGCGCCACCCCACCGCCGTGTTAAATGCTAACTTTGGGAGGCTCCAACTGAAGGAAAAACCTGATCGTTTGACTCCACGGTGGCTTTAGACCCAGGCAAGCAAACTCTCCTTGGTTTGAAGGAAATTGAGGTCCCTGATCCGTGTTTCATTTCAAAAGGCAGAGAGGACCTGTGGACTTTTTAAAGCAATGAGGTTTTCCCTCCATCTGTCCGTCCGTCCTTCCAAGTAACACTACAAAGTAAAAGCTAAGGAGAGCGGGAAGGAGAAGGGGGCAGGGGAAGAGTAAATATATTGCTTACAGTTCCCAGAGTTACATGAGAATCTTCAGGCTCCTCTATGGCTCTAGCTTTGTCAGGATCCTTTTTCAGCTCCGGACTTAGAGAAAGTTTTATCCTTGGTGGGAGGGGCTGAAATGTGGGCTGGGCTCCTTGGGTGTTTGCAGATGTCTTAAGGTGGAATTAAAGAGGAAGAAGGGGAAAGCACTCTCCTCTCAGGAGCTACTATTTTAAATATGAATGTTTAGTTATCAGTACCAGGAGTTTAAAGTCAGAAAACATATTTAAATAATATGTAAATTAAACGGTCCTAAATTCCGTGGCTGCTGGGGGATGTGTGTGTGTGTGTATGTGTGTGTGTGTGTCTGGAACTCCTTCTTACCCTTAAGTAGTCACTACTTCCTCCTTTTTTCCAAACAAGTAAGAACAAAATTGAAAAGACAGTGAATAACCTAGAGCATTTTTGTCTTCTTTAAAAAGACAAAATTTCCAACAAACCCAAAGCATAAAATATGTCATGTTACAAATGAACAATGTAAGACCACTTTCAAAATCAAATCTGTTCAAATATTCCCTCTCCAAGCTCAAAACACCTGTGTTTATGATCATTTAACTGTACATTTAAGATTAAAGGCATACTAAACGATGTAATACAAATGTTGAGATTTAGGAGGGAATCAAATCAGGTTGAATTCCAAATTTTCAATGTAAATTCAAATACCTGATAATGCTGTAATGAACAAGGTGCACAGTTTAAATTTCTCCAAATTCCAAAAGAGTCAATTCATGTCTTTAAAGATTGATGTGTTCATTTACTGTATCTCGTTTTTCAAACACAGGATTTTCTATTTTTTCTATAATCAATCTCTTATAACATTTTCAAGGAATGTAATTTCTGCAGAGCCCTGTTATTAAATCTTCTGGATTATCTGCTTTCTGTAGCCCAAGATTCAACTCCTTTTTCTTTTTATTTTCTCCCATAAATTTGACCTCACATGTTATAAATTCTCTCCTTCCTAAAAAGGTGTCTCTCCTGGGGTAAAGCTTTTTCTCTTTCTAATGAAGGACCTGAATTTCTTGAAAGGTGGTATGTGTTAAATAGAGGAGCAGAGAGTACCCTGCTATTTTTCATCTTTTTCCCCAGGTACAATTGGTGAAAGACAGAATATGTACTTCCAGCCTCGTTTGTCCTAAGACTGATGAAGAAAGACTCCCTCAAAAAGCAGCTGCATAGCGCTCTAGTCAGTTTGATAATAAAAAGTTATAGCAGCTTTCAGTATTTGGAGACACTATCTAACAGTGTGTCACATGATAATGATAAGAAAAAATGGTTAAATGCTTTTAAAGAAAATGTCAGTATATGTTATGGTTAGGGCTAAAAAATATGGGGAGATGGTTGCCTCTTTCCAGCCTTGCTAAATGAAGCTGACTATCTCCACACTTGGTGAATGAAAGCTGCTGCAGGTATGTCTGCCCCTCTCTGAAACTGATGACTACATCCCATCGCCCTATTTTGTGGTTCTGTGGTCTCCGTGTCACCCTACTTGTGATCTTATTGTTCACATAGACCCTCAGGTGGATGGCACAAATTCGGATTTGCTGTCTTCTCTTTGTCCTGTTTCCTCCAAAAATCAAAAATATTCTCAACATTGGCCTACTAGTTTCAAGAACCTGCTTCCACCTTAGGTAAGAGAGAATTTGTCTTCCATATCCTGCCTCACTGTAGGATCAATTAGATTAGAAGACCCTTCTTCACTTGTTCATCAGCGAAGATCAGTCATCTGGGACCCTTATGAAACTGAGCAATACTGTAGCAGCCTCTTTTTTTTTTTTTTTTTTTTGAGAAAGTCTCACTCTACTGCCCTGAGTAGAGTGCCGTGGTGTGAGCTTAGCTCACAGCAACCTCA